AATGGAGCACAGAATATCAAAGTATAATCTCCTTAGAATAACAGGATCGTCGATCTTGTTACTTTAACTACAGGATACCCCAAATAAATTTTTTTTATTTTTACAAAAGTATGTGAAAGAGTGCGTTTTAATAAATTTAGAAATTACAGAAACAAGCAAACTTTTTGAATTTTAATAAACATCTTGCAATTTTGACATATTCAACGATTGTGAAAATTGTAAGATGTTGTTGTACAAAAGAACAATCAAAAAGTTTATAAAAAAAATATTTTAAGTCATGAAAGCAACAGAAGCTTCAAAAAAAAAAAATTTAATAATAAGCGACCAATCAAAATTTAATAATAAGCGACCAATCAAAATTTAATAATAAGCGACCAATCAAAATTTATTTTAAATGTGAAAATTTTCAAAAATATGACAAATATTATTGGATTCATTCACTGATATGAGAAAATAAAAACTTGACATTTTATTTAAATGTTTAATCCCTGGAAAAGATTGGAAAAACATGACATGTTATTATCCAGAGCATAACTCCAAAATATCATTAAATAATGATATTTCTTTTGCAAAGTCTCCAATAATATTTTTGCGAACTAGCATTTCCTTGGTTCGTTTGGGTTTTTTATTGTCTTTCGTACATGTTTTGTATATTGTTTTTTGTATATTATTTTACCAAATCAATTTACAAAAGACGATACCTAATGTAAATCTTAAGTGTAGTTTATATTATTATATATATTTTTTCTCTACAAAACCAATGTAAACATTAAAATTATTTTATTTTAATTTTTTTTTGTGTGATAATATACTTTCTTCTTGCAAAACAATTCTTTTTTGTTCATAAACTCAAGTTCTTTAGGAGAATAATGCCATGTATCAAGTATATATAAAAAGGTATAGATTATAAACTTTACATGCCAAATTTTGTAATTTCTGAATCAATGCAAATTTTATTTAGAACAATATGTACATAGCCAACTCTTGGATTAATTTTTTTTAAAACCATTTAGTAGCTTCATTACATCATATAAGTTTTCTATAAATGTTTTGTTGGGTTACTCTTTTTCAAGAAGCACATTTTTGATTATTATGATTACGCAGCAAAAATTGTTCTAGTGGATTTGTAGTAGACCTATATAGGCATTTTTAGGAGAATTTTTGAGAAACTTTTCTCGAGCATATACCTTTAAGATACATCTTTTTTTGATTTTAATTTTTATATCTTTTAATATTAGATTTTGAATTTTATAAACCTAATATCTTAAAATAAAATACGAAATTAGATTTTGAATTTTGTTCAAATCTGAATGTTTGAAAAAAAAAATCAAATTTGTCTAAAATCTAAAAAATTGAATTCTAAATAATATTCAAAGTTTAACATTTCGAAACAAAAATTTCTGAAAAAATAAATAATTAAAATAAATAATAAAAAAATAAATAACTAGAAAATAAAATTCATAGCCTCACATTTCGGAACAAAAATATCTGAAAAAATAAATGATAAAAAAATAAATAATAAAAAAATAAAATTCATAGTCTAACATTTCGGAACAAAAATTTCTGAAAATAAAACAATTGCAGGTAAAAGAATAATTCGTAAACTTGACATTTTTGTCGGAGGAGTAGACTACCAAATCTAGAAACAGAAATAGGAATCTCCTCCTTATCTGTTATATTGAATAAAGAAATTGAATTCAACAGATCATACAAAGTTTCCGTAAACAACACAAAAAAAAAAAATTTAACCCTGCTTTATGGGGTAACAATATAATAGTTAAACCATACCGAAAAAACGTTTATATACTAACATATCTCAAAATCTGGAATCTAACGGAAACCAGAAAGATTTTCATAGATCAAAATGGATTTAAGGAATATTTTTAAGGGAGATAAACTTCCAACAACATTTAATTTATGTATTTTCAACTTTCACGTTCTAAAGTCTCATATTGAGCATACCAAATCGTTGGTTATCGAATTTAGAACATTTCATAATAAAAAATATATATAAAAATACAAACTCTTCATTCTTCCACCAGGCTAACAAACATGAGCAGGGTCGAATGTTTGGCGGAAACGTTTTTTTATTCGGAAACATTTGTTTCAAAACATTATTATTTTATATGAAGATGATCATATCTTCGCAATAAATTAAAAAAAAAAACAGACTAATATTATTATTATTATTGGCATTTATCTTTCATTGTCAGGCAATAATCAAACATCACTGGAGGATTACAAGAGTCAGTTGGATATAATTTCAGGCGTTATTAATAACTACGAGGGTGTTTTTGAATTTATTGTTCTTGGCGACTTTCAGTATTTTCCTCACGGAATATATGATTCATAAAAGAGAGCTAGCTCTACGAAAAATAACTACTTTGTAGTTTTATCAAATTTTACAAAGTCGAATGAACTGGAATTAGTGGACGTAACAAACGGCTCTGAACCTAAGTTAACGTATCATCATAATACATTACCAAACGCGTTTTACATATATCACATAGTTTTCTCAAGGTATATGTCTCTTCTTTATTCCAATTGTTTCGTAATTCCTTTTTTATCTCAAAACATGAGTGATCATTTACCAGTATTGATTGAAGTTGGAATTATTGGAAATTATTCTCAAGAAAACAATCATAAAAACTCAGACAAGTACAGCATTCCAAATAATGCCTGGAATAACAATAATATTTTACAATTATATAACAATCGCTTAAATACTATTTTTTATTTTCATAAGTTTACGAACAGCAATTACGATGAAGAACTTATCAAAGTATATACTGTTATTACAAAATCAACATCTGAGGCACTTACAATACTGTAAAAAAATGCTCAAAAAACAAAAACCTGTACAAAGAATATATAAAAATCGAAACGTTAAAAAATACAAATACAAAATATTTTTGGAAAACTTTCAGAAATATAAAAAAAGATGCAAATTCGAAATTGTATATCATAAATAATAAAAAAGATAAAGACTCGATCACGAAAGAATTTGCCTACAGTTTTGAAAATGGATTAAACTCTAAAGCAAACACATATACCTCAAAAAATTTAAAAATTTCACCTTGCACAAAATTCAACGAGGTAATAATATCGGATGAAAATATAAAAACGGTCATTTCTCGATTTAAACTAAACAAATCCAACGACACCTTCGGAAAATCATCTGAACATTTAAAAAATGCGAGCTGTCAAGCTCTAACAGGATGGCTCAGAAAATTCTTTAACTTTTCTATTAATCATGGACAGACCCCAAAATCGATGTCTACATCACTTATAATACCATTTGCTAAATCGTATAAAAATCCTTAACTGATCCAAATAACGACCACGGCATTAGCATCATTCCAATCTTTACGAAACTAATAGAATATCTCATCCTACTAATCTGTCCAGAATTAAAAGAAACTCATCTTCTTTAATTCGGTTTCACTAAAAATAGCTCAATTGTTTCACTAATAGCAAATTCATCTACACGATGAATTTGCTATTAGTGAAACAAATAAACACTACAACAACAACTCACCTGTCTATCTCTGTTCCCTAGATGATGAAAAAGCGTTTGACAGCTGCAACTAGGACATTCTGTTTAAGAGACTGTACAATGATAAAAAAAACTCCGTCTGTATATTGTTAATACCCTATCGTCATTATACTATGAAAGCAGTGCTTCTATTTCTTATCTAGATTGCAAATCTTATCCTTTCTATCTAACGCAAGGAGTGAAACAGGAATCTATTCTCTCCCCTCATTTGTATAACATTTATACTCAAAACCTACTAGAAACGAAAACGTCGAAGGTACATCAATCAATGGAAATATACAGGTGTTGTAGCATATGCTGATAGCATTATACTTCTTAGCTCCACCCTCTCTGACCTACAAAAGCTTATTAATATATGTAATATGTGAACACACAAAAATTGCATAAAATTGAATGTTGACAAAACCGAGTTCCTGCTCACCGGAAAAAAGCAAATTGAAAACTGCACAATAACTCTCAACCACCAACAAATAAAACTTCATGATAAACTTAGTCGTCTAGTCTTTACATGGGAAACACAAAAAGTTTACCTTTTGCCTCACTTAATAAATCAAACATTGATCACCGAATATCTAATTTCCGGGCGGTTATCCAAACCTTAATTCAATCAGGAATCCGTTTTGTTCACCCAAACTCCATTGTCCAGTTATATAAAACTTAAGCTGTTCCAATACTAACGTATGGTCTTAAGCTGTGTGAGCATGAAAAAAGTTTAATGCAAAAGCTTGATAAAGTTGAAGAAACGCACTTAAGTCACTCCTCAACGTTTTAAAACATAGCAAAAATTACATTTATACCTTATTTTTTATTGAAGATATATCAATAATTATACTACAAAACAAGCTAAACTTATTTATTCGCCTGATGAATATTAAAATGACATATGATATTATTAAGTCGCAGCTGAAAAATAAAACAGCCTTACAACCTTTTTTTAGATAGCATCAAAGGCTTGTGCAATAATCATGAACTAAATCTGGAGACAATAATGTGAAGTAAAAAAATAAAAAATCATCGGCCTCAAAAATTTAATTCATGATAAGGATCTTCAAACTCTAAAATGTGCAGTTGAGTGCTGGAACTCAAAAGAACAGAGAACCATTCTTGAAAAAAAATATTCCTAGATGATCATTTATATATCACGTTAAAAAAAAAAAAAAAAAAAATTTATATTTATCATGTATGAAACTCTTAATTTACCTTGTTTCTATAAGTATATAACAATTTTGAATTTTATTAAAAATATTAGATTTATTTATTTATTTACTTAGATAATTACTTCAATAATAGATAATAATAAGAAATAAATTTGCATTTTTGCCTTTGTTGGCCTCTTTTTTTATCTTGCGCAATCTAAGTACTAAATTTTTGGGAACAGTAAATTTATGGAAACAACTACTTTTTGACAAAAATATTTTTGATGAAATCTTATATACTTTTATCATAGACAGTGTGATCAATGATTTTATTTTTAGTGCGGCTCGCGCATGATAATTGCCTCAACCTTCTCTCTAACTATCTCGTTGTACTACTGCTCATCTAGTGTAAAAAAAACAATGGGTGTCGAAAGAAAAGTTATTAAAGAAGGAGACGGTTTGTATTTTCATATTTATTTTACCTTATGTTTTTAAAGCTTTAACTTTTTTTAGAAATTAAATTTTTATTAGCTTTTTTATTTGTGTTTTAAAAAATATTTTAAATGTCATTTTTAAATGTCAATTAAATACTCTTTAAATGAAGTCAAAACTTTGAAGTGATTTTAAAGTTTTCATAATTGAATGAAAATAATTTTTAAAACATTTCAAAGTTTTCATAATTAAGAGTCAAGATTATATTTTGACAGTCAATTGTGATAAGTTGTCAAAACAATATTTTGACAGTATTATTGTGATGCGTTCAACAACTTTTTTATCTTAAATTAAATTTGTTAAAACAAGATTACAACCATCTGTATAAATACAACTAAAATTTCCATTTAAGTTGGCCTATCTTGCATGTAATAAAAGTTACATGCAATATAAATGTTAATTTCACGCATTTGGTTTTTTTTATGATAATGATAAATACCAATTTTAAAGATATTTATGTCTTTTAATAAGAAACATCATGAAAAAAATATCCTGAAAAATAATACTATAGTAATATATACTAAATATAATTTTTTTTTTAATTAAAAAATAATTTATAAAAAACAAAGATTAAATGATTCTTTTTTTTCATCTAAGCAAATATAATGAAGTTTTTGGTATTTTCAAGAAGTAACTGATAGTGTCTTTGCATAATTTTTAAAACTTTCATTTAAAGTGCTTTTTTTTTTTTTTTTTTTTTCGAGGAAGGGTATTCAAGAAATAATTTACCATTGAAAATTGTTCTGTGCCCGTCAATTGACACTTTCCTGGTCTATTGACGCTTTTCTTAATTTGTCTCAATTGAGACAAATTGAGAAGAAAACCTTTAACACTGCACTTGTTTTATTTTTAGTTAAAGAGTTATTTATAAATTTTTTTTATAAAATAATATTTTTTGACATTTATAATATAAATTTGTTTTAATAAAGACTTAAATTGTTCCTACTTTTAAATTCCTATATATATATATATATATATATATATATATATATATATATATATATATATATCAGAGTGCCCACTCTGCTCGAAAGAAAAGCTGTTTTTAAAAAACATACTTTTATACTATGATTGGAAAGAATTCAATAATCTTAAAGATGTTTCCTGATACACCATAAGAAGAAAGCTTATGGAGAAGACCAGCATGCCAAACTTCATCAAAAGCTTTTGAAATGTCAAGAGTGATGTCCTTAACTTCTCCATATATATCTAATGCACGATAAAACCACATATATAATGCACAATAAAATATTGGTTATTACTGTTAGCATATGAGCTGTAGAACAAGAAGACTGAAGTCCATATTGATGATCAGAAAGTAAGTTATTTGATTCAAGATGAGAGATTAAGTGTTTGTTAATTAAAGATTCAAAAACCTTGCTTATCATAGAAAGAAAACTAATGGCACGATAGTTATATGACTCAGATCGCCCACCACAATTTTTGAAAATACGGATAACAGACTGGAAAACAAGACGCTGATAAGCACTTATTAAACAGTTTTAAAAGTATAGAAGACAACTCCGGAAAACACTCCTAGAAGACTATAACAGGTATGTTGTCTGGACCAAAAGTCAATTTGATCAGAAATAACGTTGAAAAGTGTGCAGTCTGGAATTAAAGTAGAATGATATAAAACAAAGAGAAAGGCAATGAAGTGAAGTAGTGCTAAACGAAAGCACATAAAAGATTAGTTTGTGGATTCAAACCTAGTTTCCTGGCAAAAAGGTAAATTCTTACAAATTTAAATGCCCAGGCCAAGCATGTGACTATTAGAGTCTTAACAAATAAAAGGAAGATAACCATCAACACTAAGATCACAAGATGAGACAGCTGAACTCAAATCAGTCAAAGAGCAAGTAGGTCTAGTGAACTTTGCAAGATATAGGATTCAACATTAGAAAAATTATTTTTAAGACCATTAATATTAGTGAATGATTGAAGTTGGTGGTGACGGTTTTTTGTGTTTTGTAGTTTTTGGTACTTTAGTCATTTTTAAATTTGTTAAAGAACTCGACTCAAAGCACAGATAGTACTCAATACACTATTCAATAGTCCAAGCAATTGCTTTTGTTACTATTAATAAACTGTAAACCGTAACAAAGGGTTCTAAATGTGGTCTTTATAATGCACACCAAAAGTACGAATTGGGATACCATCCACGTGCAATTTGGCACTGTTAGTACTTTAATATTTTACATCTGTTAATGGAATCTGCCAATCTGAGAGCTACCACAGAGGTTCGGGAAACCTGAGTACCAGCCAGCCTCAGAACCATAAAACTGAATTTTAGAGCAGTACCCTCATTAGAAATGATAGAATGAGTTGCCTAGTCATAAAAACAGAGACACAAGCAAAACCCATGAATTGAGTCAAGAAGATCCAGTATTCAACATCCTAAACTGGAAACAATGTGTTATAAATACATCTACACCAGCCTAATAGATGAAGAAGGGGTGTGATACTGTTCAACGTATAAAATCTGTTTACCCCTTGAATATATATTTATATAAATATCTACATACAGACAGACAATAGTGTAGCAGGGCCCAGAGTTATTAGGGGCTGAAGGTGACTAACTTTTTAATTTTTAATAAGTTGTTACTGTAAAAAATAATTTGTATGTTTATAAACATATTATTAACACTTTATATTATCATCTGGAAGCATCCAGAAGCATTTAAAAAAAGTATTTAGAATCTTCCAGAACAGGTTTACACAGGTTCATTCTACTATATAAGAGACATGTAAACCGACATGTAATTCAGTCAGTATATGGAAGTCAATAAGGCAGTATTATCTAGACAGTTTATCGAAGTGAGTTTTATCAAAGTTATCGAAGAACACCAATACAAGAAGTGAAATACAACAAGTGTTTCATTACATCAATATAGTCCACATTCAACCAAGACGTTGTGTTCCATAGAGCATTATTGTATCATCACAAGGTAAATGTAACACGGTAAGCCTTAAGAAGCATGATTATTTATTTTTATTATTTTTATGACTTCAAGTGCAACAATGGCTACTGACAGTCTTGGATTGGAACTAAGAAAGGTAATTATTGGCGATTATGTAAGTGGAATGTCACAAAAAAGTATTTGTGATGAATATTGCGTGAAAAAATGGACCGTATCAAGACTATGTACCAAATATCGGTCTACGGGAAAGTTGGCAGCAGATAACAAGCACTTTTACATAAAGAAAATAAATTAGCATTATTTGGTTGCACTTGTTTTGTCCGATACTGTATATATAGTGAATGTTTTTAAAGTTCTTGTTTCTCACAAGACTACGAGTAAACAAATATTGAATATATTACTATTCAGTAATGTATACTATGCCAAAAAAACAGAATTAAAAAAGTACTTTAATAAGTCTTGTCTCACTATCCTAATAGCAAGATAACTTAAAATATGTTTTCTGTCCATTAGAAAAGAAATTTATTAAAATATAATTAAATTTAACCTAGTTAACTTCAAAGCTAAGTAGCAAAGTTTGGGTCTGAAAGCATTACCTAATTCGCATATGTAAAGCTATTGCACCCTTCACATATAATGTTCTATAAATAAGTATAAAATTTACAATAGTCTAAAAAACTCAATTCTAATGAAAATACATTCATTATCAGTAATATTATAGGACAAAATGTCTCACAAAACTGGAAACTTATGTATACTGTCGCGTTTTATGACTATTTGGTGTATGTACACTTCGCATAAAAACAAAGAAATTAAAGTGTAATTTATGAAAGGAATTTTTATTTAACTTATTTAATTTAAAAATATTTAAATAACTTAAACAGTAAATCAATTTTAACAATTTAAATTAATATTTTAAAAATGTTAAACTTTAAAACATAAAACGGCTATAGCTGTCACAATGAATAATGTGTTTCAAACAAGTTAAGATCTAAACGTTTTTTATAAGGTATGGTATGGTTAAACTTGCTATTTAAAAGCCTTCGTGACAATCTTCATATGTAAAAATGTTCAAATAATGTCAAACAGCTTTTAAATATTTTTATAAATCAGCATCGTCCATTATGCTATCGATACACATTGTTTTAATTATTTTTATTTATAATCTTTTAATTTTTTCATGTGTTTCACTGCTTCAACTACTTTTCATATCAATTTTAATGTTACTATTTACTTGTTACTGTATAATATTGGTGTTATAACTCATTATTTTATCTAATACTACTGTTATATGTTCGTAACGTATGAGTGTTTTTTTTTTTTTTCTAGGTAGCAAACCAAAAACTGGTCAAAGAGTAAAAGTTCATTACACAGGTATTTCCTACAATTTTTTTAGTTATGAGTTTTTAAAAATGGCTACATAATAATATCAAAAAAAAATCTATTTTTATTGGAGCCTTAACTTTCTCTAAATGTGTAAAAAAAAAATTTAGTGGTGGGACTTAGTTGTCTTTGATAATCCTATTTCTCAAATCAAAAATCAATGACAGTCAAATTTCAAATTTATGGTTTCAAATTTCTGGTTTTTATGTAATTATTTTATTTGGCATCTTGTTAAATTTTATATTTTAGGTACACTTACTGATGGGAAAAAATTCGACTCATCTCGTGATCGTGGTAAACCATTTGAATTTACTTTAGGTAAAGGTGAGGTAATTAAAGGTTGGGACGAAGGTGTAGCTCAAATGTCAAAAGGTGAACGAGCAACGTTAACGTGTTCTCCTGATTATGCCTATGGTGCCAGTGGTCATCCTCCTGTTATTCCTAAACAGGCTACTCTTATATTTGACGTTGAGCTGATTAGTTTTCACTAATAATACTCGTGTAAATAGTATATGATGTTAATAAACTCCTGAGTTCTTAAAATCGTTTAATATATAAGTCTATAATTGTTTTTTACAAACTTATATAATATTTATAAAATAGTGTCTCTAAATAATTTTTAAGCATGCACAAACTGATGATTAAAACAACTAGCTAATTGGTTTGGGTTGATGGAAATAAAAATTAAATTTTTGTTTGCTTCTGCTAGTAAGTGACCGGGTCCCGGCCCCGGCTAAAAACAGAGGTTTTTGCAAACCCTGGCCTCGGCTAAACAATCACAATTTGCAGGGGTTACTAGCCAAGGCTGGATTTTTGTTGTTGTTTTTGTTGCTTTTTTTTTAAATTTTGTCAAGTTAAAATTTTTTGTGAAAGTTTAAGGAAATATAAGAAAAAGTCACAAAAATAATATATACAAATATAATGTAATTCATAAATATTTACAATGACAAATAAGAAATAAGACACTTATTAATAATTTGAGTTTCTTCCTCTGATTCTGTGTCCCAGACATAGTGTCTGGACACAGAATTTTGAATTAGGTGGTGTAAAGTCTTCAGGGGTATCACATAAATATGTTGAAGAAGTAAGAGCCCTTAAATTGTATTTAAAAAAAAGAAGTGTTTCAACATTCTGTGTTGTAAGTCTGATGCGATCTTTTTGTATTAACTTTGAAACCTTGAACTCCCTCTCACTTGTTGATGAGCTTGAGGGTTAACAAATATACTTTTGCCAAGTTTGCTAGCGTTGGCAACTCGCTTTTCACGAGACTCCAATAAAATAATGGATCTTCTGAAATATCTATTCGCTTTTTCTTATTATTCTTTACATTTAAATACTTGAATAGCTTAACTATGTAATTCTAATGATTAAAATTACAATTAAAAAGTTACTTATATTTTAAATGTAAATGCAATTTTACAATAAATTTATCTTATGAAATTTATTTTAGGATACTTTAAACACCCTAATTGTTAGCAGTTTTTAAATATTTCTTCAAATTATTAACTCAGTTTAAAAATTTCAAATAATCAATTTATTACATTATGGCCAGTGACTTTTCTAGAATATCCAGGTTGCTGGCTTGTTTGTTCTTTCATCCAGAAGAACAAAGTAGATCAGATGGATATATGGTTTCTTTAAAAGATAGGAAAAAAAGCAATGATCTTAGAGATAGTATGAGAGTAGTAATTATATTTAGAGTGTGTATCAGAGAAGATGATAATGATGCCAATGATTAAGATGATGATGATGATGATCATTGTCATCATCATCAGAATCATCTTAATTATCATCATCAACTTTATGCTTGATGATGATGATGACGATGAGATGATATATATACCTTTATATAAAATATATCATGAATTTTAAATAACAATAATATATTTATAAGGAATATCAATATTAATGCAGGCCCCGGCTATGTTTTATCAAACCCGGTCAAATATCAACCCCGGTCGCTTACTAGCTTCTGCAGTTATACGAACTTTAGGAAGTAAATCTGCAACGAGAACGTAAGGGGCTGTCCATAGACGACGTCACGCATCTAGGATAGGGAGGGGGTGCAGACTTTGGTGTCAATCTGTGACTAGGGGTAAAACAAGTGTGACGTCACAAAAATTGTGTTTTATAAAAATATAAAAAAAGTTTATATATATATATATATATATATATATATATATATAGAGAGAGAGAGAGAGAGAGAGAGAGAGAGGCGATTCTACGAATACAGTGAGGGGGGTGAATCCTCAAAAAGGACCGACAAGCTTTTAAAAAAAAGGTCCTCAAAACGAAAATATAACCGACTGAATTGTATCAAACTGCCGACCAGCCAACTAAATTAGTAAAAAAACCCGACTATAACTTGAAAATCACTTTATTTTGGAGGGTGTAACACCCCCTACCCCCGTAAAATCGCTTTTGTATATATATATATATATATATATATATATATATATATATATATATATATATATATATATATATATATATATATATATATATAATTTACTTTTAAAACGAAACTCTAAACAAATACAATTCGGAATGATGCAATGAGATCTTTTTCCTATCTCAATTCTCTCCTGTTTTTCAAAGGTTCTCGAACGTATCATGTATAATAGAATATATAACTTCATTAATAAAAACAATATTTTATATCCTAAACAGTTTGGATTTCGGAGAAATCATTGCACTGAACATGCTGTGATAGATTTGGCTAGCAATATTTTGAAAGGATTTCATTACAATAATTATACACTTGAAGTTTTTGTTGATTTATCGAAGGCATTCGACACTGTCGACCATGAAGTCTTTCTCTATAAATTAAAAAATTATGGAATTCAAAATACTAATCTAAAATGGATCGAGTCTTATCTACAAAATCGTAAACAATGTGTGACGTATGATTTAACTTGTACGCAGTTAGAAGTTATTAGTTGAGGTGTCCCTCAGGGCTCAATACTTGGTCCTCTGCTGCTTCTCTTATATATCAATAACATCCACTTATCTTCAAAATTCCTTAATTTTGTTTTTTTTGCTGATGATACAAATATTTTTTTTTCGGGGTCTAATTTAAAATTTGTTTTTTCTACTGTAAACACAGAGCTGATTAATCTCAATGAATGGTTTAAAGCCAATAAACTGTCCGTAAACATTGATAAAACTAAATACATTCTGTTCACGAAACCTTCGAAAACTGATAACATACCCCTAAAACTTCCTGATTTATTTATAAACAATATTAAAGTAAAAAAAGTTCATTCAATGAAAATCCTAGGTATAGTATTTGACGATCATTTAAACTGGAAAAATCAAATCCAATTAGTGGAAAACATCATTTCAAAAGCTCTTGGGATCCTTTTCAAAACGAAGCACCTTTTGAATATAATGTGCTTAAAAAGCTTGTAATTTTCATTTATTCATAATCACATTAGTTATTGCAATATAGTGTGGGCAAGTAATTATTCATCATCTTTAAAAAAAATTAATACCAAACAAAAGCAAGCGAGCCGGTTAATTTTGAATGCAGGTAGATATGCATGCGCCGAGCCTTTACTTAAAAAAATTATTGTTTTAAATATTTATAAACTAAACATCTATCAAAATCTGTTTTTTATGTTTAAAATTCATAACAATATGCTTCCAACATATTTTCAACCGCATTCTATTTTAATTAATCATAAATACTCTACAAGACATTCCATTGGCAACTTTCTCATCCCTACAACATCCCTTAGAAAAACAGACTTCTCAATTACATGTCAAGGACCACGTTTGTGCAATTATTTCCTTAATAGAGACAAGAAAAACATGACTTCAATTGAACTATTTAAAAGAGCAGTTAAACGATATTTATTAGATTTAAATAATAAAAACATTCTTTTGTATTTTTGAAAACATTTATTTATAGATTTGTTAACACGTATATATGCATCTTATAACTTATACATTTTATGAGCTGTAATATGTTATAGTATGTACAAAACTTGTAATATGTATAAAACTTATATAACGTATAATTTAGGAACTTAATAGATAAATCTTATTTGATATTTTCACGAACTTAGGAGCAGGTTGATAAGACGCATTGTCTTTTACTTGCTCCTGTCAGAATATAAGATTTAATTTTTAATTTTTACAAAAAATATTGTAAAATGATTGTTTATTGACGAAATATATATATGTTAATGTCATTAGACTTAATGTACTGACGCGTTAAGTAGTGACAAAAGTTTACGTATAAAAAAGTTCACATAATACCGCAAAACAATATAACTAAAAAGTTGAATATTTAAAAGTATCTGTTCAAACGTACATATTTAATATTTCTTGACCACATTTTAAAAATTTGTTTCTAATTTATTAAAACTTTTAGGCGCTCTGATTTGTAAGCGCCGATAAATTCTTTTCACGGACGCACTCTTGTCAAATCCATGTTCCGACGTTAAGCGTCCTTTGCGTCCTCGAACTTGTATTTTTAGGAAATAGGCAAAATGGGGTATATAGGGGTTTGTGCATCGGTACGCACATACACCGACTGATTTTTAGAGAAAACATGCAGCGGAATGTGTAAACAATTACTGAGGGTTTGGGTTAAGCAGGTTCTCTTTTAAATAAAGATGTCATTTTTTTCTACATTTTCAGACCTTAAGGACAGCGTTGGAATAAGGGTTTGACAAGAGAGCCTACCTCTTTTCATAGAATGAACGTATTTTTGACGTTAACGTTTTAGCATATCGTACAAAAAGCACAAAGGCTTTTTAAGTAGAATTGATTCAGAAGTGGAATGAAATAAAAGTTGATAAAATTTACAAATCAAAGCGGTTGGTTGCAAGAACTAAATGCTCTTTCTACAATCAAAAAAAGGAACATTCCTAACATTTCGGACTTAACAAACGTTATCTACTAATAAACCTTCTATAAATATGCATAACAAAAATCTTCCGACTTCAAATTCGCAGTTTGATTAAAAAGATACCGATATTGTTAGTAATGAATTAGTACCTGGACCATGTACTGCCCGCGCAGAAATATAGAATTGCCCCAGCTCAACTACAATTGCAGACACAGAATGAAATTCTAAGTTCTGATTGAATCGGTTTGTGCAAGCAACAAAAACGTGAAATACTTTTCATTCAAACAAGATGCTGAATTGAAAGAAAAGAAATAAATAAAAAAAGACAACTTAGAACAGCAGTTAAATATTTATATTTATCCAAGAGGAAGGAGGGGGGGGGGCATTTATTTGTGACGTAATATTCTAGGGGGAGTCTAAACTTTTGTGACGACTTGTGACGAAGGGGAGGGAGAGGGTCAAAAATTGCAATGAATATAATTTTTTAAATTTTCCTAGGTATTTTAAGTAAAATATTACAAAAATTGAATCGTTTATTTCAGAAACAATTTTTCTAAAACGATATTACAGATGTTTTAAGTCACAGCATCTTATGAGCAATTCCACGATTGTCACAGCGTGACAACAGTCTTTATTTTTTGTCTTAAGCCTTCAACATTTTAATATTAAAATAGATATAAAAATAATTTTAATATATATATAATAAATAGATATAAAAATAATTTACTATTTAATTAGATCATGATATGTACAAAAAACAAAAAAATTAGGTAGATATATTAGCCTCTTATTCATGCAGGGAAATATAAAACTTCACAGCGTGACCAAAATTTTCTCATTGTTTTTTAGTTATTAGATCAACGCTGCGATTCAGCTAATATAGATGGACTAAATTAATAACTTGGCATTAAACAAAAAGTTTAGACATTACTCTTACAAGTTTTGTTGCTTAAAAACATTTTTTAAATTATATTTCAAACAGGCGCACCTTTAATTAACTAGTGGTAAACGTCACGGCGTGACCAGGCGCATTTTGGTAATTATAAACCAGGTGAATGGGGTGTTTTTAATAAATTTAAAACTTAGTAGAGAGGTATTAGACATATATAATTACATCTTCTTTAAAATAGTTAATACATAGTAATCTTCAGAACAGACTCATACTAGGGTAACTTTACATAATTTCGCCCATCACTCAATCTCGCCCACCATCTTTAATTGCTTATATGTAAGTTAACTCACACGCTGCACCATTAAAAAGACGTTATTTTAGAGCAGCAAACCAGCTTTATCAACATCAAAACAACTTTGACCTTAAAAGAATCGCAAATAAAAAGAATCTCTTAAAGAAAATTTGTTGGTTTTCGGTAATTTTTTGCTACTTAATTTGCCGAATTTAAACCAGCTGTAAAAATCTACCTAGTTAATTATTTATTATGCAGGTTAAATTATAATTTAATTTAGTTCTCCACTGCTTAATCTCTGATTGTAATAACATTTATAATCGTTTAAAATGGTAGAATATGCATTAAATTGTTTTCTGCTCAACCTACCAAATTAACTCAATCTCGCCCACAGAATAAATATATTGTCGCCAAATGCATTTAATCTCGCCCGGGTGGGCGAGAATAGATGCAGCATAATATATTAAGAACACTACCAGCAGTTTTAACAAAAAAAAAACTTTCACCGTGACCCCCATTATTTTTTCATTAAATTGCGATGACATTTAAAAAACAATTGAAAAACAAAATCATAAAATTTCGTAAGAATACATATTAAGAGCATAATCTTTTTGAATATTTTTTATGTATTTTTTATGTATTTTTATTCTATATATTATTGAAGAAATTATTTTATAAATTAGTTACCCTTAATTCGACACCTTGGCATTAATGTAAAAATGAACCAAAAACACCTTGCCATTAATGTAAAAATGAACCAAAAACTTACTTGATAATTGCTTTGACAATCGATGATATCCACGTTAATTTATTTTTAGTCGGCTTCAAAACAATACTCTTCCTCTGTGTATTGTTACTAAGAAATTATTTAAAAAATAAATTGCTATGGCTCTGCGTTGAGTAATTGTATAAAAAGCTCATGTTCATCAAAACCAAATAAATTAGCTAGATAAAGAACAAAAAAAGTATCGCAAATAATTAAACTTTGTCTGCTATTGCATTTTCTTTTCCTGATAATTATTGGTATGAAAGAATTTGGAGTTTTATCTTTTTATGCTACGTTTTGTTTTTAGAAATAATTTTTTAATATTTAGAAATAATACATATTTTATTTACGATTGTTTTATTTATTTTAAATTTAAGAGCTAATGTTTTAGTTATTAAAATAACTAAAACATTAGGTCCAAAACGTTAGGTTCAAAAGGTCCAAAACTCATTTTATGCATAATAAGAACGCTTTTATTCTTTTTTGGGGCCATCCATAAAGTACGTACGCATATTTTTGAGGAGGAAGGGGGGGGAAGGGAGGTTCCCAAAAGCGTACGAAGAAAGTACTGCAAAGTTCTAGGGTTGGGATTAAGTTACAAATACTAACATATGGTTTTCACCACGTGTTAATATTTTAGCTCTTATAAATTTGGAGCATTTTATTAAATTAATATGACATTCATTCTGCAATTTAATTTATCTAGATGTCTTGAAAAAAAACATGGTTAAAACAAGAGGTGGGGGATGTAGATCATCACCAAGATTTCACCGGATGTCGGTTGAAAAGATTGCTTCTGAAACAGAGGCTACAATATGTTATAATATACTCATCTTCATGATGGTATAACTCCTTCAACATCTGGGAATAGTACTCTTGACATTTGTCAAATGAAACAGATATCAACAATTGATGTTTCTTTAACTCGTGTCAATGGTTCCAATCATTCCATTGATTAATTAGTCACTGTTAAGAAACGGGGCAAATTCCTGAAATGGAGTAAAGAAAACATGATGAGTGCAATTAAGCATATCAGATCAGAGCCATCAGTGCGAAAGGCAGAAATATTGTACAAATTGCCACAAAAAAAGTTGTTATTGGAGCAAAGGCAGGAAGAAAACCTACCCTACCTTTTGCTGTCGAAGAAAAACATATAGATTATGCCAGCAATACAGTAAAGTTAGGGGTAGGTTTTGGAAAGTCACAGTTCCTGAATTATGCTAGGAAACTTGCTGCAAAACATAAATTCAACTTTAAGAAAGGACTTCCACGCAACCAGTGGTGGACTAGGGTTAAACACCGGCATGGGCATAAATTTACTCTGCGAGAACCAGAGGGTACAACTTCAGTTCTACATCAGTGTATGGATAAAGATATAGTGTCAAAGTACTTTTGTGTTTTAAATGACGCCATGGTGAAAAATGGTTTTCTCGTTAAACCAGATTCCATATGGAATGTGGATAAAACTGTTCTACAACTTGACGTAAAACCAAGAAAAGTGGTTGCACGAAAAGGCACAAAAAACCTCCATAGTCGAACTAGTGGAAATCGAGAGTCAATAACTGTTATTGCATGTGTTAATGTAAAGGGCATATTTATTTCACCCCAGGTTATAGTGAAGGGAAAGACATCCAGGTCTTTATGGGGTTTTAACACTGAGTTCGCGACTCCGGGTACAAAAAGGAGCTGGTCCGACAGTGGTTGGACTAAACAAGGCCTAGCAAAACTATGGTTTACCAAGACATTTTTAGAAAACATTGGCCCACAACGTTCTCAGTTATTGATTCTGGATGGGCGCAATTCTCACAACTTTATTGAGCTAATTGGTATTGCTATCCTGAACCAGATACATATAGTTGAAATGCCTTCACACACATCAAACTGACTTCAACCATGCGACCGCACTTTATTTAAGCTACTGAAGGATTATTATTGCTCTACAGTACAAGATCTGACGGAAAAAGATAAAGAACAGAAAATGGACAGCTTAAATACTTCGTTTTAACTTCTCAAGAAATATACTCAGCAAAGATGAAATATCACCAAGACAAAATCCAACAGCAAAGAGAAAAGTGTGAAAGAAAACAACTGCGATTTGTTAATGCTGCTAAGCGACTCAAAGAAAAAGAAGAAAAAAAGGTATTGGTTCAGAAAAAAATTAATATTATCTGAATTGCAATCATTGATTGATCCCGAGAACAAAACTAACTAATATGTACTAAATATTTGACAATATTTTTTTATATAACAAAAAATCCATACAATTTCGTCTTATCTTATTAACTTTTTAATGAGTTTTACTTAAAAATACTTTAATGGTCTTATTTGTGATAAGACCTAACGGTCTTATTACAAAGAAGACCATTAGTAAATAAATGGTCTTATCACTAAGCACCGCCACAAGGACTTAACCATTGAATGAGTTGGTTCCCCATTTCGATCTTTATCGATAACGTAAAAGTGTTTCGAGCAGGATTCGCACTCGCAACACTTATACAATGAGTACCATGCTCTAATCACTATACCACGGCTGCTCAATATAAAAGTTAAACTTATGACTGGGGCAAAAAGAAGACAATATTTGTCATATCACTACGGTTCTTAAGCATTGATGTGTTCAAACTATACTTAATTTACACATTTTAAAATTACAATTGAGATTGATCTCAGAATCCAGATTCAAGTCAGAATCTAGGAAGAAAGTTCGCATTCACAAAATCCCCATGGTTTTATACTTTTCTAATTAAAATGGTGCAATTGAGCATATAAGTTAACTAACGAGATTTAATTTCACTCACCTGTATATAATGTCGCCCTACGCAAGTATAAGTTCTTTTTTAATTTACAGAGTGGGTGACTTTAAATCAACATGGCGAGATTGAGTTTAAGTGGACGAGAATCAGTACTTTTGACACACTGTACAATTTATAATGGTACTGCTAACTACTCTTATAAAATCTAAATAATTTTACATAGTTTTGTAGCTGAAGGAATAAGCTATCAACATCAACTTCAGTGCGGATGTGGGCGAGGTTTGATTAAGTTACCCTATATCAGTTTCAAATCGCGTCCATATTATATTACTATCATATATGCAACATTTTAAAGTTTTTTGGTGATTTTTATTGAAGACGTATTTTGTTTTACTAAATAATTGGCACTTGAATTTAATTGCATTTCTACTTTCCCATTATTGTTTTGAATTAATTTCGCTGCAAATATTCCTGGTTTTGCTGGTGCTTATGTAAATTAAAAAAAAAAAAGAAACAAAATAGACATTGAAATTAGTCTCATTTTAAACATCTTCATGAAAAGTTATGGCATCGGTTATTATAAATTTTCTCTGAATTATTTTTTGCGTTGCTATTCTTTTAACGGTCCCACCAATAGCATCTACCTTTCCGATGCAGTAAGCAGCAAAAAAGTTCCAGAATAATTTTCAATCATGCTGTTCTTCCAACCAGAGTATTGCTGATGCAATAAAACAATTTTAAATTGATTACTCGGCCCGTCTGTCCAAACCTTGCCTTTAGAATATTTAAAAAGACTGTGGTATTTTAACGATTGATTCAATATGGCTAGATGATAAATTATGAACAAATACAAGAATAGATTCTTTTAAATGGCTTAAATCATCTGAAACTATGACAGTTGATAATCATGAATTTGGTACAATGCAGAAGTAAACACAATAGCTTCTTGTGCCAATGTGCTGACTGCACTTCATCTTGCCACAAAGTTGAATTTTTTTTAGCATAATCCACGTGAAGAACGGCTGTGTCTGGATTACTTTGAAGTTGGACCTTATGATCACAATATGTCTTTGATTGTTTCTGTTTAATAAAATAATGTCAAAGAAATGAAAGTAAAGATTTTGAAAAGGTACTGTAAAGATCATCAACTCTTCCTTTTTTTTCAATTTTTTAAATATATTCTTTTCCATTACCTTCTGCAACTTTTTCTCATTGGTACCATGTAACGCATTTATTCTTGTCATCTTCATTTAAAACATATAGATTATGAAAATTTGCAGCATCTTTGCATGTTGTACACTGAGTTACAACTATCCCTAAGAGAGATAGTTGTAACCTTATGTATCCCAAAAGAGAGCCTCAAGAATAGCATTCATACTCCAAACATCTATAATTTGCTATTGTTTCGCAGTGGAAGCTATTAAAGTTCTACCACTTATATGGAACCGTAATAGTCTTAAGAGAAGGAAGAAATATTTTATATAAGTGCAAGGTAGTGCTAGATAAATTATAATATTTGGACAGATGTCCAGTATTGAGAGGTGGGGTTTAAAAGGGGAGTACTGTTCAGTGATTACGTTTGAGTTAAGTGAGTGTTGGTCATGTTAGATTAAAGTAAGTGTTGTTTCAGTGTTCTGTAAGTTATTGTGTTTTGTATTTGTACTGTTCTAAACGTTAAAGTTTTATGTGTCATTTAATGTCTTTGTTTGTGTAAACCTGTGTGTTCGTAAATAATTTGATTCTCAGTCTTGTTCAGTTCCGATGTTATTATGTTCTCTTTATATATAAGGTTCGCAACTAGAACAACTGTGTATAGTCACTAGTGGAACATATTAGGCCGTAAATGCCTTAGAGAAAAGAAGTGATTGATTATATTAGAAATTGTTATTGTTTTTACTTAATTCCAGTTTTTACTAACTTAGTACAGGTTCAATTATAATTCATTTCGTTTAGTGAAGTTGATCTTTTTAGTGAATTTGTTTTATAAAAACATGCACCCTTATAATGGAAATATTCGTTTTAAATTTAGTTTATATACTCAACACGGCTGTTTCAAACCGAGCTTAACGGCTTCTTGTTAATTTTTGAAAATATTGACTAAAGGGGTGTTACTAAAACTTTTATAACTTTTGAAATATAAGAGGTAATTTTGTTTTGTAAAAACAATTAAGACATCAATAAAATGTTTTACCTTATAACATTTAATGCATTAGTAGAAAAACTTCTTTTAGTTTAGAATAAATATGACATATATTGAATTTGGCTAAATTTTTGTAATTTGATGTTACTTTTTATCAAAAAAAAATTAGAAAAATATATTCCTAATAGTTATTATCAAATACACTTATTGTTTGACAATAATGAAAACAAAAAAACCTTACTTAATTATTTAAGGTTAACTAAAACAGCCTTAATCGAATTGTGAAAGCAAACCACATTTTTCGCAAAATTATGAAAAACGTTGTTATAAGGGGGGATTAGTTGTTAAATGAGTACTTTTTTTAATATAGAAGTTCTTGATTTAGAAAATTATTTTGGAACGCTGATAAAATCATTACATTACAAAATAAAGTTCTAATAATATGGTGTTAGGTAGTTAATAAATAAAAACTCATCAATTCTAATAAAATAATTCATGACCAAAATTGAGTTAAAGGTTTTGAATTAACCTAGCTTTTGGTAGTAGAATTATTTTATGGTACTTGTATCAATAATCTCTTCTCACAAAAAATAAAGTGTTTAAATATACACAAATAGCTGATTTAAATCTTTTGATAATTCGTTTTTATTTTCATTAAAAACTGTTTTATAATTAGTTGGTCCATTGATAAGTTCTTCAAGCAGTAAACTATCTTTGAACACCCAGATGATACTAGACTCATACATAATTCATTTAAAACCAGAAGAACATTTGGTCAACTTGGCAATTGTGATAATAAAGTTTACAACTTCTTAATTTATCAAGCTAAATTTTTACACCAACTTGATAAATGAGACTTATATTCCATTCTTTAACTAGAGAGGAGGTATGTAGAGCAGAGGTCCTGCGAAGGTAGAACTAACTTTTGATGATAAAAATTGAACGGAGATCTAATATATATAAAAAATGTTACATATTACATAACAAAGGATATAACGTTTTTTGATTTAACTACATAAACATACAAAATCATATCCAACAAACATACCAGTTGCTCTGATCACAAATTAAAATAGTTAGCTATACATTTGATGCTAGACTTTTATTCCATTCTTTAACCTGAGCAAAGGCATTGCATAGATATAATAAACTTTTGAAAATAGGAACAGAATGGGCATCTACCTAATATATAAAATCATTGTAATAAAAAATTATTATTATTTTGAACAAACATTACAGGCATTAAAACAGAATAGAATTCTTTTATTTGTAAATTAAGGATCTTATATAATTTATCTTAGATGTAAAAAGTTTAATTTTTTTTTTAACTTTTCAAACATTTAAACTAAATTTGATGACCACAAACAAGACAAAGACCTTGTCTATAAAATGAATTTTCGCCACGCTCTGAACACACAACACACTTTCTCACCTTAGAGGCTTGAAGCTTCCTATCAGCTTTGCTGTGCAATTCAAAGCGTTTTAAAACAAGATGCAGCTTTTGCTCCTGATTTCTAACTGAATGCAACTGCCTTAATTCCTTATTTACGCTATTATGCAAACACTCTCCCTCCTCTTCACTCAGCAACCCAATAGTTTTATGCAATTTTACAAATAGTGGCACATTGAAAATGAGTTCATGCATTTTTCGCGTGATACTTTCTTTTGGAAAGCAAGCATGAAACTCAATAGCAAATAAATTTATATATTGATGAAGCTCAGAAATTTCGGCATCAGAAAGAAATTTTCGCTTAAAAAGAATAGGTTGCAAGTTATTAAAAACACTAAACACACGTACAAATCTATTTTTAATTGCTTCATCATCAATAACACTACAAAGTTTATAGTGGTTTCTTAATACTATTTTACAATGATTACCTACAAATACATTACCATGGTAAGCTTGTCGCTCAACTTTCATATCTTCAAGGGCCTTATAAAGAGACCTCTCATGAGTCCCCATGCTACTTATAGATATTTTTTCTAGGTCTT